TTCAAAATAGGCAAATATTAACAAAGTGCCATCTAATATAAGCATCATGTACTAAGTACCAACTGCAGCACAACACTAGCAGTTCTTGTTAACCTGTGAGAGACCATACTGACTAAGCTATTGACTTTTCACTTCTCTCCAACTGTACATGTGTGTGTGTACTTGTACATTATATAAGCATTTTTTTAAAAATGTAATAATCATATAAATCTTTCTATATTCTGAAATAAATACCACAGACCTTCTAAATAGTAAATACTAAACTTTAAGTTCACTTAATATTATCATGCAATATTTACTTAGCACACTAAAGTTTGGGTACAAATTTGGAAAAAATAGGTAAAATATAAGGGAATGTATATATCAAATAAGCAGCTCAAAGCCAATAAATCTGTACCACTTGTTCCGTTTGATGATTATCACTGTATGGTTTTAAGACCATCCAGTAGGAACCATTTCCAATTTCAAATGCCTTTATATGGAACACAAAGCTTATTTAATCATTAAAATGTTTCATTTGGCAGTTACATACTGCCACATACATTTTAGAACTGTTTCATCAATCATTGTGATTTTAAAATGTTTGTATAGATATTCTTATCTATGAATATAAATGCATGTACACCCAATAACAAAAGCGGTGATGCCTCATCAGACCTGGCTCGGAGAGATCATGTTCTTCTTGCCCTGAAAGGAGGCCCATGTTCAAACTACCAGGACATAGTTAGCATGGTTCGAATGTAAGGATGAGGGAAATTATGGAAATCAGGCAAAGAAGTGCAATCATGACTAAAATATATATAGGGAGAGAGTGAGGGATCGCTTTTGTTCCTGATGAGTTGTTGATTTGATAAATATTTTGGACCTGCCTTAAGAAATATGTTATATGATAACATTTCAAAAATAATTATCATGAAATCTTATCACATAGTTTTATTCTAATTCCTTATCATATTTTCTATATAAAAAATCTTAAACATTGTTGGAATTGACTATTACTATTAATATTCGTCAAATGGAAATATCCTTTGTTTGCATTATCCCAGAACCGTATATTAATATATGGCTCTGCATTATCCTAAGCAGCTGCTCTATTTCTCTCACTCTCCTCCATCTTATATCACCTGGATCCTAGATAATGGTAAACTTTTGATATGTTATTTGGAAAATAGAATAATACTCATGACCATATTTCGTATGCCATTATATTTTCCAAATGTTTACAATTATTTCATTACCAAAAATAAAGAAATAAATATGTAAAAGACGGACTGAACACGAGATATTGAAAGTAATGGGTTTCTTTAATAGTTTGGAGGGGGAACACCAACATGGTGTTGGACACTAGCCGCTGAAACAACAAACAAAAGGCATAAGAATTGGTAGAGTCAAGGCTGAGGGACTTGGGTAAAGTGAAGCTAGACTCTGCCCTTCGTGGGGTGAGTGAGTAAGCATGAGCTGGGAAGTGGGTTTGCTAGGAAATGCCCAATCTGCCCAGGTTTAAAGACTGTCACCTAATAATTTGACACCAAATGATATGTTAATAGTATGAGTTTTGCAGCACCTACATCCTATATACCCCACTATTACTATATTAATGCACTGCTGCATAAATTCACTGCATTTCATTTTCACCAACAGTTTCGGAAACAAGATAATGAATTCAGTTTACTGACGATGCACTTTAACCCACTAACATCAGGTGTCCCACATATAGACACCCGAATAAATAAACACTGCCAGGCATCCTGCCAGTGTGACACTATCGTGGCTCACGCTCCGATGCAGCAGCGGGCCGCGGCCGGCGGGCGGACAGAGTCTGAGGCAGCTCCATCTGCCAATTTTGTAGCTGCCCGGAATCAAGTGGCCCATCACACCCAAGCTGATCCTAACCAAACTGTGCTTCACGATTCATGGACACGACTGGAGGTCATAGTTCGTAGGAGGTACCCAAACAAAATAAAAAAGAAAACAAGGGAATCGATACCTAAACCTTTACACTCCATCACCCTCAAACTTTTGTGGCCAAAACCATTTATTAATGTTTGGTAGTTCAAGAGGCGCTATTTGAGACGATACATTATTCACACCCACAAATATTACACACAATGTGTGTGTGTGTTTGTGAGAGAGAGAGAGAGAGTGAGAGAGAGAGAGAGAGAGAGAGAGAAGAGAGAGAGAGAGAGAGAGAGAGAGAGAGAGAGAGAGAGAGAGAGAGAGAGAGAGAGAGAGAGAGAGAGAGAGAGGGGGGGGGGGTAGGTGGAAGGGGGAAGCTCGCCTTGCCTAGTGAATTCAGATCATCTTCCTCCCCCCCTTTACCTATGTCCAGGTTGTTTGACCTTGGGCCACCATTCAGGGCAAGAAGGGCAAGTTCTCTCTAAGCCAGGTCTGGCGAGGTGTCACTGCTGTTGTTGTTGGGTGTACATAACATTTAGCATAATTTACTTAATCAACTGAGTAATATGGGTATACTATCACAGGTTAAATTTTTGGCTTGGCTTTCTGCTACCTTGTATTTGTTTTCTATAATCTGCAATCAACTACAAATTATGAAAATTCTAAAAAATACATATATAAAAGAAAATAATTCTCTCCTCCCCTCCCCTCAACATTCCCACAGTGCTTACACTGTCTGAAAGTGTTTAGGGTGAGTGATGAGAAAAGTAGCATTATGTAATACCATCCTCTTCAAAAGGGTTCCCAAACAGGTAAAGGGGCTCTTTTTACTTAAAAAAAAAATAATACAGCCATTAGTAACAAGAAACCTTCATATGCTACCTGCTGAAACCTTACCTATTCATGGTGGACTCCATGTACCTCCCGGCTCGCATATCGTAGAACATGATGGCACCCACACCAGTACCAATGGTCAGAATGTCACCGTGGAAACTCACAGACCGGATACCACAACCTGTGATTCTGGCATTCACCTGTAAAATTTATGATTGTTAATATGGTGCATAACAGCTCTTAAAATCTGGTATTTCTAAATGCTGATTATATATGATTGTCAATGATAATTTTCAAATCAGAGTTCATAATGCTTTCTAAACATGTAGAATTTGACTTAGTTAATGACATCCAATTATCAATTTGCAAAAAAGAAACAAATAACAACTAAATTTACCAGGTACTCGTATTTCAATGTCTACATCAAGGCTCAAAGATGCCCAAATTATGTGCTGTGTGGTGCACTTTTAATGTTTTCATCTAGCAGTCTTGTTGATCTTCGTTCAAATCCCGCAATGGATGGTAACCTAAGCCATTTCTTGCACACATGGGGTAATTCAGAAGCAAAAAACGCAATAAAATCCTTGTCAAGATTACATGCGTAAATTGCCTTGAACACCTTCAATACTAATGATGATTACTACATTAATTGCAATATTGGGATAAAACAATAATTTTTTTGTATATCTGTCTCATGTTTTCCACAGTGAAAATATTTACACGTATATTGCTCTACTATCATTGAGGTTCCATAGAAGAAAACTGCTGTCTGACAGAAGGACTCTTTTGATTTCCTGAGGACATTAACTACTATTTTGTTATTAGTGTCCTTTTATATATTTTAGTAATATTCATTTTCTGTAAGACACCTGAATAATACTGGCCACAGTGTACAGGAATAGACACCTTAGCATGGAAATAGTGTCCTTCCTTGAGTCCTCAGTCATAGCTCATGGATGGGACCTTCCACACCCAAACGAGTAAGGAATGCTTCATCCATGAGAGATGGAAATAATCCAAAACCCCTTCCTAAATGCCCACTGATTCCAATCACAGTCCAAAAGCTTTAGGTACTAATGGTGATACATCCCTGTTACCTGTTTGTCACACTGGCCTTCAGCCAAACTTCACATGATGGCTCTGAGCCATATTCTTTCATGACTTGATGGTCATGTCACCTGAATCCAAAGGGGTGATAAGCAAATAAATTGATCAAGACATTTCGATTGTATTCCTTTCACCCTCAGCTCATAATTCACCATACTCTAATAAACCCTAGAGCCCCTACAATGTAAAAAGAGAAGAGGAGAGACAAGAGAAGAGAAGAGAGTGGAGGTAAGGGAAATGGAGAGAGAGAGGGGAGGGAAGGATGGAAGAGAGAGAGAGAGAGAGAGAGAGAGAGAGAGAGAAGAGAGAGAGAGAAGAGAGAGAGAGAGAGAGAAGAGAGAGAGAGAGAGAGAGAGAGAGAGAGAGAGAGAGAGAAATGGGGGAAGGGGGGAAGAGGGTAAGGGGGAGGAGGGAAAGTGGGAAGGAGGATGAGATAGTAAGAGGGAAGGAGGGAGAGAAGAGACAGATAGTGTGAGAGAGACATGAGTGATATAAAGAAGAAAGACGAAGAGGTACTGAGTACTGAGTGAAACAAAGTGTTACATTGAGTTTCTATTTTCCCCACTATTGCTCTGTTTTATTCATTTCACTACAACCAAGATAACATGTCTCACCTTTTTAACGTAATGCAGTGTTCTAGGGTCTAACAGCGTGGTGTGGGACTTGGACCCAATTGCATAGAGTGAACTGTCCTCTTTGACGGTCAGGCAAACATTCTCCATAGCATGTGGGAGCTTGCGGGACATTTTCTGTACAAAGCGGTTGGCATCCCATACATGGAGGTAGGCATTAAGTGAGAGTGCTACGATCTCTACAAAGTTGGGGTTGAAGATGACCGCTCGCACCTTCTCTGCACCATTACACTTCTTGATCTTGACAGGTTTGATGTGGCCATAGTTGGGAAGGTTGCTTGAGTTGCTCATATCAATGTCATCATCAATCTTCCAAAGGGCAAGCCGTGTGTCCCTTGAGCCTGACACTAGAAATTGGTCATCTAGCCAGCACATGTCGAAGATCCAGTCTGAGTGGGCCTTTTCACCCACACAGACTGGATCAAGTGTTGGTAGTCGGTAGACGGCAATGTCATTAGAGTTAAGTGCACCCGTAGCCAGGAGGGTACGTGAGGGATTGATTTCAATAGAGTGGATCCCACACTGCTGATCCTGCGGACGGTGGGGCTCTGAGCTCCGCAGTGAAGGAATCACATCCATCTGGCGTGTGTTCACGTCATACACCATCAACTTGTTACACTTGGTCCCCATAGCGATCTGGTGGTCACTCAGCCACTGAGAGCAAAAAACCTGCCAATCCAGAAGAAAAAAGTAAATAAATGGGATATATAAATATGTATATAAAGTACAAGTAGATTTTAAATAATGAACTAAACTGGATAAGGAATTGGAGAGACTGCACTGTTTTCTCTTTGTACATATCATACAAAGGAATGAATGGCAGTGTATTATCAAGACTGCCACTGGATACTATTTACATATAAAATTCATCTGTTAACCTACACAATAATATACACACAAAAATATCTTTCAAAGAAGAAATTTAAGGACACTTTGCACACTGCTCATTTGACAAAATTATCCTGCTCCTAAGAAGCATTTCTGAGGTACTGATGAGGTTGTTTTATTACTCCTTTCACAACTACAGAACTGTCTGGTGATAAAACAATTAACAATTCAGAATAAAAGTTCAACAATTTCATATTCACAAAATCATGGATTTAATGAAAGTGAAACGTCAGGTAATTAAACTCAGATCTATTTCTGTTTCAGCATATTATAGACCCTGTTTTTGACTGTTTTTTAGTTGATGACGCTGTTGGGTGCCCATTATATGGATTAGCATTCAGAAAAATACTTATATTATTGCTGATAAAATCAGAATCATTTATAAAAATTGGAAATCAAACTTGAATGACAGCAAATGCAGGCTACACTTTCCCTTAGTTTCATATTGCCCACTCGTACCAAATGTATGCATATTAACCTACTTGCCTTCTCTCTATAATGCTATTTTTTATATTTGTCCTTTGTTATGCTATATCATATTCCAGAGTAGTCTACAACTCTGTGTAATAACCGCAACAATAAGTGACTGTGTAATTTGGGTAATTTTTCTATATATATATATATAATATAAATATATATATTATATAATATATATTTTTTTTTTTTTTTTGGAAACCCCGGAATTTGTGGTCTCCCAAGCATGGGGCATGGAAGCTACACATCACCTTTGTTTTCCTACGGAAATAATGCTGGAACACCTTCCTAACGGCCCACGGAGTCTAATCATTCTCCTAAAGTTTTGGGCACTCATAATAAAACATCCTTTTTACCTACTACTCTGTAGTATCTCATGGTGGGACAGTGATGCTCCTCAGCCAAATTTTTTACATGATGAGACATTCCCATCATAAGGAACCAACAGGTTAATAAACGAATGTATGAACATATTGCAATTTCAGAATCACTTGTCAGGAGCTGGTTTACTAGCCAAACTATGCAAAGAGAGCTGAGCCTCTTCTACAATTGATGGTCAAAAGCAACCACCTTTACTCTGAAGCTACAAAATTGGATAAAACAATTGTCTCTTACTTTTTTCTTTTCTCATTCATATTCCATCACTAAATCTACACCAAAAGCTACATCAATAACCATAAAAATGCATTGGTGGGGTAAATAAAGACTGAGGAACATGGGTTATTGGAACACTTGATAACACATATTACACTCCTGTATTCAGCAGCATCAGGGTAAATGTCGTCACTTTTGGTCAAGATAAACATACACAAACTAATTAAAGCACAAATAAGTTCAGATTAACAATTTCCTGGAAATGATATTGATAATGCTTGGTAAACTAAGAAAGAACAGTTTCTTATGGGCATAGTCTGCTTTTTGGGGACAAAAACTGAATATAGAAAACCAAAAACTATTAGTGAACATATGCAATTTTCATTCCTAACAATCAATTTTGTAGAAAAAACTTCCCATTAAAACCCAATGCTGCCACAAGCCATGCCCACAGTGGGCTTCATTTAATAATTGCATTTACACATAGATGGCTCCATAGTGCTTTGTCACCAAGGAGTTTCTCATTAATCTTACCTATCTGAGCTTTTCCTTGATTTTTGGGAACATTTTATTAAATTTTATAAAGCTATTAGTATTGTTAATAACACTAGAATAATTACATTGTTAATAACAACAACAATAGTAATAATAGTAATAATAATAACATAATCAATATCAACAGCATTAGAAAAACAACAATTTTGATGAAAACACAAGGAATAGGGAGGTCACTTATGTGTATCAAATTACTGCTTAATGCCTTAGTACTTGTGAAGCCATCTAGGGGGAGCAACATTTCACAATACAATACGACAGTTGATCGCATTTTCCCAATGGCTCTGGGTTAAGAACATAGCATTTTGTAGATGATATTAAAAATATTTTCTGTACCAAGAAGACCTACCTTGACAGCTAAACAGTGACTTTTATGAAATACAACAAACAAACAAACAAACAATCAAACACACACATAAAAGAGAGACAGAGACAAAGACAGAGACAGAGAATGACAGAGAGACAGAGGGAGACAAAGAGACACAGAGACAGGGAGGGAGAGGCAGGGAGAGGCAGGGAG